AACTGCATGCAATCCTTTAATATCATAACACATGTTCTGGAAGAGATACTCTTAAACATGTGATTGGTTCCTTCTTTGAAAAAAAAGAAAAAAACCATCCACATGCCTCTTATGTTAATTTTAATCATAATAAACGTCATTCATCACTTAAAAAAAATGATTATTTCCAAATAATTTCAATCACTTGCCTACAAGTGTCTATTCTAGAACATGTATTGTAATATTAAAACATCATGTGTAGTTAAAGTTGTCAGAAATCAATCAACTAGACAGAAGAATGACATTATTGATAAAAAAAAATGGTTCAATCCAAAAAAAAAAAAAAAGGTTAAAGACTAGTTTTTTGTTGACCAATAATTCAAGATAGTTTTTACAAATTAGCCCCGACAGAGAGAACTGGGGTTTTTGAGACTTCTACATAGCAAATCAATCAATGTATAAAGAATTAGTATTGTAACTTATTAAAATAGTAGCACACTGATCAATTAAAATAGATATAACTATTTAAAAATATGAAAGGAAGAACAAACAATATTAGCAAAGAGAGGTGAATGAGTGGTCAAAATCCAATGGACTTTTGAGAGTTGAGAGAGCTTTGTTTAGTGTAAGGTGAGCAAAAAATTGGATCTTTCACACAACATACATACAATTGATGCAAGATTAATATTTATAATGAAATCTTGATAATTTGTGACCACTAATATTATGCCATATTATTCGGGTTTGGATAGTAGAATTTGAGCTAGATAAAAGAAAATGAGTTCAAATAAAAAATGATTTTTTTTTAAAAAAAAAAACTCTTCTAATTTACTAGTAAAGATTTAAAAAATAACAATTGGACTTTTTTTTACGGATTCTTCTCTAAACCTGCTAAGTCAATATCCCTTTTGCATTCTATAGGCAAAACATGGATATTCATATTATCAAAATACTAGTGTTTATTATTGTGTAGTTCAAATCTCATATTGGACGAAACCTATTATCAATCTAATCTATTTATTATAGAGTTTGAATCCACGTCAAAACACAAAAAAAAAAATAATGAATTAATGTGCAATTAATTAAATTACTTGGTTAATTTCTTAAGCATGGATAAATCCAACATATACAATATCAAATCTAATAGATTTCAATCTTTTACTTAACAACTTGTACAAAATCACATATCCTGCAACCTGTCAAACTTCTTACGTAAAAGATCAGCTCCCAAATTCTCAGTCATACTACCAGCATACGTACAATGTACATACAAAAAACTATACTATAGACTATTTAGCAAAAGTTTTATTATTAGGAAATTGAAATTATTGCAGTACTTTTCCAGAATGACAGATCCAACAGAACTCAAGACAGGCTTCAGCTACATTCCTTAGCTCAGCAGGGCACGAGTTATGATATCTTCATGTTACAATCTGATTTGATTCCTATTTCTCCAACGAGAATCCGAGCTCAATACCTGAGGCGATTTATCTCACAAATCCATTCAAGCAAACCTTGAATTCTCTCTCTGCGCTCTCTTTTGCATACTATTTTTTCTCAGAACCAATATTCACTGTCTTCCAAATTCCAATCGTGGCTAATTTGAAGAAAACGGTGGTGCTTTCTTTCTCGATGATGGCCTTTTGCTGGTCTCAATGGCTAGTACAATTTACCAAGTTGGTGACTCTGCTGATTGGACAAGCGTGGGTGAAGTCGATTACCAAGATTGGGCTGCCAACAAGAGCTTTCACGTTGGTGATACTGTCGTTTTCAACCACAAACCAAGTCCACGACGTAAAGCAAGTGACACACCAAGGTTTCGAGTCATGCAATGCTACATTCCCAGTAGCCGCCTACACCAACGGCTCTGATACAGTCACACTTGCAAAGGTTGCCTACTTTTACTTCATATGTGGTTACCCTAATCACTGCCAAGCAAGACAAAAGGTTGACATCTTGGTTGCTCCAGCAACGTCAATTTCTGTCCTGCTCCATCACCTCAGAGCTCACCTAGCAGTGCTTTATTTCTTTAGTTTAGCTATCTGTCTTGGTCTTTGGGTGTACTACTAGCGTTCTGTCTCTCAGATTTGCTTAATAGGAAAGTTTTGGAGTTGCCTGCTTCTTACCAACCTGCGCAGCTAATATATATATATATATATAATTGAGATTCCTCATCGTTTACAAGAAGTTTCCATTAAAACTATGATTCGTCCAGGAGATAATGGCTGGCAGTATTCTTTCTTATCAATTGATATGAAAAGATATTTTTTTTCATATGAAGGTGTTTTGATTTAATTTGTTTCCATGACAAGGCATAACACGAACTCTATTCTTGGTTTAGATAGGGTTGCAAAAGGTGATTATAGGCACCGTTATCGAATACGTTAAAATTTTGATACCACAAAATCATCCAGTCATTCTCAAATGTGATCAGGTGGTTAGGTTTCAGCCTTTCAAAACATCATTAACAGAATCGCATGATATTACGACCTTGTTAAACAGAACTAAGAAGTCACAAACTGCCACTTCCCAGTAGTTTTTCTGTTTGGAAGCAAAATCTAAGTACATAAACAATCTGGATTGTATTGTTTTCATCTCGTCAGAAAAACGTTAGCATTTCTTTCTGATAAAAGAAACAACCTGAAGGGCCATCATTAGGCAGCAGCGCCAACCTCACAGCACATTCGGCTCCCTCTGCAGCAGTGAAAATAAGGCCGGTATTGGTAGTGATGTCAGTCTTGCAATAGCCAGGGCAGACAGAATTGACGCAGAAACTAGGGTACTTTTTGGCCAGAATCCTTGCGTATGCATTCATGGAAACTTTTGCAACAGTATAGGCTGAGAGATAAGTAGGCCAGCCTTTGGGTTCTACGGAACCCTCCTCAAATGACATGTTTTGGAATCTTTCATTGGTAGAATCCAAACAAATAAGAACAGACTAGTCTTGTAGAGTTGTTGTTTGTTTGTAAAGGTTCAATTCTTGAGGTTAGAATTTAGAATGTAGACAGAAATTTCAATTTCTAAAGATAAAATTTAATTTTAATGCATTCAATTCAATTCATGAATTTCTCAGAAAACGACAAAAACCAAAGAACAAGTGGCGTAAAATAAGGTCCTCTGATTTATTTTGAATTGCGATAATTTGACCGTTGAAATTTAGTGCTGTTGCAACAATAACAACATCTCATTAGACAAAAATAAAAAATAAAAATAAAAATTTCCTGCTACTGTATGCGTGGCAACCTTCAAGGCTATCACATATTTGGGAGCATTCTTACTTGAAGGAAAAAAAAAAAAAAAAAAAAACAAAACTTAACCTCAATTGCTCCCCACACTATCCTAGTTTATCAATCTACTCCAAAAATTATTTATTTTTTTTATATTACTCATCCTTATATTTTTTACTTTACCTCAATTACCCTTCCAAATGGATTTTCATACGTTTTCAAGGGAAATTTACCCGTTAAAATTCTAGGACACCAGTTTAGGGATTTAAAAAATATATCAACAATATTCTTTTCTCTTTAAAAATCATGTGGTAAGCTTAAAACCATATAATATGAATGATAAAAACCGATAAAATCATGGGATATTAAGGTTTATTATCTGATTTTTTTTAGAGAAATAACCATTGTTAGTTTGTTTTTGAAGCTCCAAACTGATGTCATAGAAGAGGATAATTTCCCTAAAAAACATGACCTTTACTGTGATCGAGATACATAAGGGGTTGATTGATAAAAAATATATATATAGTTTTGGGAGTTAATAAGTTAGATAAAAGTAGTGTTAATTTTGCTGTCATTTTTTTTTATCAGTATTTTCCTTCAAGCCTTAGAAATTTTTAATAAAGTTTTTGGATTCATATTCGATCATAAATTCCATCCAAATAATACTTTATTTTTGGAAAGAAACAATATTGTTTTGTGAGGAATTTAATATTTTCCATTAAAGAATTCTAATAGAAGGCTTCAATTGAAAATCAATTTTTTTTTTTCAAAAAACAGAATCCTTGTGTATGCGTTCGTGGTAGCTTTTGCTACAGTTTAGGCAGATCAGATATATATTGGCCACCCTTTGGTGCACTTAAAAATATCAAACCATAATATTAGTGACGAAGAAACCTTTCAAATTGTGTGAAACTGGCTAGTTAGGTTTCGCTGTATGATATATATATATATATATATAGTGAAGGGCCAACCTAATTTTGTTTTTGACAATATTAATCCCGCACATTTTTTAAACAATTCCAGCCGGCAAGCCTTTCTCTGTTTTGGTTGATCTATGATGAGAACTCTGATGACTTTATGCATTGCATAAAGCTTAAAATTTGCCTTCCACAATAGTTAAATTCGTGAAGATATCCAAGCAGTTAAGATTTAATTAGATTTTAAGTTCTAAAAACTATCAGTTTCAGAATCTAAGAATGATGATACGGGGATTTGTGATTGTGTAAAAGGATTACCGATTGTGTAGCCAAAACTCATTAGGCCTTTCATTAAACAGAAGAATAAAAAACTCTCGTCTTTTGTTTTTTTATGAAAAGATGGTACATCTTTTCACTTCTCCGATGTAGTTATCTCTTCCTAGCATGGTCTCAGGAACTAGTAGCTAGCATTATTAATTAAGGTAATCGTTAGCAAAACCATGGCTCTAATGGAAGGATAATTAGAAGTGTCAGTGCTATATATGCCATGGAAAGAAAGTAAAACAATTCATGTTGCAAAAATATATTTTTTTGGTAATGACATCGATTACCCGTGACAAATTTTATTGAAAATATCATGTAATTGATGAAGAATCTCCATTACAAAAAGAAAAATAATGAAGTACAAAAAAAGAAATAAAGGGTTTGAATCTGCCACTTAATAATCTGTTTGCCATTAGAAAAAGAAACATATAATTTGAATCTGCAACTTAATAATCTGTTTACTGAATAAAATAAGAAAAATAAAAACAAAAACACTGCACTAATGACCCTTCAACTCCAAGATAGGTAAACAAAAGCAACTTGAAAATCTTTCCTAATAAGCAAGTCCTGAGAGACAGAATGCTAGTAGTACACCCAAAGACCAAGACAGATTACTAAAATAAAGAGATGAAGAACCGCTAGGTGAGCTCTGAGGTGATGTAACAGGACTTAAATTTGAAGTTGGTGGAGCAACAAAGACGTCAATCTTTTGTCCCGCTTGGCAGTGACCAGGATAACCACATATGAAGTAAAAGTGGCCAAGCTTTTCAAGAGTGACTGTATCTGAGCCGTTGGTGTAAGTGGCTATTGGGGACGTTGCATTGCATGACTCGAAACCTTGGCGTTTCACTTGCTTAACGTTGTGGAATTGGTTGTTGTAATTGAAAACCAGAATATCACCAACGTGAAAATTCTTGTTGGCAGCCCAATCTTGGTAATCAACTTGACCCATGCTTGTCCAACCAGCAGAATCACCGACTTGGTAAACCGTAGCCATGGAGACTCCGCAAAGAGCCATCATCATCAAGAAAGAAATCGCCAGAGTTTTCTTCAAAGCCATGATTGGAATTTGGAAGACAACAAATATTGCTTCTCCGAAAGCTGCTAATACGCAAAGAGAGATCACTGAAAGAGAATGCTAGCTAGGTTTGCTTGAAAGGATTAGCGAGAAAAAAGTCCTCAGGTATGCAGGTATATATAGTGGTGATCTAATCCGATCACTGAAGGATACAGATCGATTTCCTGATTTACTAGGTGTTTTTTTTTTTCTTTTAACTAATCCGACGTATAGAAGGAGAAGAATTTCCTCGTTTTACGTATTGAACTCGGATTCGATCTCATTAGAAATCGAATCCACTTGTTAGTGACTTACTGGGACTCTAACATGATCACTTAATAAAATTTGAGCCGAGTGGGCAAGGAAGGTTTGAGTTCAGCTGGGCCAGTCATCCTGGAAGCTCTTATTAAAGGACAACCTCATGTTCTCCTAAATGCAAAGCAGCTTATGGCAAGAAATGCTTAGTTGATCTTAGGATTCAGTTAAGGTGGCACCAAGCATGATGCTTACTCGCTTCTCCTTATGTGTAAAGAAAATATAATGCTTATTGGTCTCTTTCGCATGCAAAAATTAGGTCAAATCCAAGTTTAGTTCAATGAGCTAGAATCTTGTAAAATAATAAAATAAAATTAATTGGTTAAAAACTATCTAGAACTATTGGTCAGCACAAAACTGGTCGTTAATTTTATTTATGTATTTGTTTGTTTTGATTTGATCATTGAACATTTTTTTTAGCAATGTCATCTTTCCATTAAATAAACTGATTTTCAATTACGTTAACTTCACGTAATCCTTTAATATCACAATACATATTCTGAAAGAGACTCTCGAAGACATGACTGGTTCCTTCTTTGAAAATAAAACCATCCATATGTCCCATATGTTAATTCTAATCAAAGTAAATCTCATTCATCACTTTAAATAAAAAAATAATTATATTTGAATAATTTCAATCACATGCCTGAAAGTGTTTTTCTTCTAAAACAGGTATTATAATATTAAAACATCAAATGTGATTAATGTTGTCACAAATCAGTCAACTAGGTAGAAGAATGACATTGTTAATAAAAAAAAATATATAGTTCAATCCAAATCAAAGAAAAAAAAAGTTAAAGACTAGAATTCTGTTGACCAATAGATCAAGATGGTTTTTACCAATTACCCCTGATATTATTCAGAAAGAATTAGGATTCTTGAGACTTTTTCATATGCAAAGTCAATATCTGTATGTGGGGGTTGGGGGGTTGTTGAGAACAAGTCAACGACAGCTTCAACAAACCAGTCAAATGCATGTGTAATTTGTTGAAATAATGGCACGCTGATAAAGAAAGGATACAAATAGCGAAAAATATGAGAGGAAGAACAAACTAGTATTACAATGGACTTTTGGGAGTTGAGAGAGCTTTGTTTAGTGAAACGTGAGCAAAAAATTGTATCTTTAACACAATATACATATAATTGATATAAGATTGGCATTTAAAATGATATTGATGATTCTTGGCCACTAGTAATATGTCATATTATTCAGATTTAGACAGTAAAATTTGAGCTAGATAGAAGAAAATGAGTTCGAATGAAAAATAATTATTTTTAAAAAATAAATTATTTTAACTTGCTAGTAAAGATTAAAAAAATAATAATTAAATCTTTTTTTTGATGGATTCTTTGCTGAATCTATCAAGTCAATATCCCTCTTGAATTTCAAATGTAAAATATGGATATTCGTATTATCAAAATACTAATACCCGTTATTGTATAGTTCAAATATCTTACTCGAACGAAATCTATTATCAATCTAATCTATTTATTGTAGAGTTTGAACCCATCTCAAAACAACAAAAAATATAATAAATTAATATGCAATTAATTAAATTACTTGGTTAATTTCTTAAGCATGGATAAATCCAACATATACAATATCAAATCTAATAGACTTCAATCTTTTACTTAACAACTTGTACAAAATCACAAATCCTGCAACCTGTCAAACTTCTTACGTAAAAGATCAGCTCCCAAATTCTCAGTCATACTACCAGCATACGTACAATGTACATACAAAAAACTATACTATAGACTATTTAGCAAAAGTTTTATTATTAGGAAATTGAAATTATTGCAGTACTTTTCCAGAACGACAGATCCAACAGAACTCAAGACAGGCTTCAGCTACATTCCTTAGCTCAGCAGGGCACGAGTTAAGCTATCTTCATGTTACAATCGGATTCTATTCCTATGTCTCCAACGAGAATCCGAGCTCAATACCAGAGGCGATTTATCTCATAAATCCATTCAAGCAAACCTTGGAATTCTCTCTCAGTGCTCTCTCTTACATAATAGCTTTTCTCACAACCAGTACAAAGCTTTCTTCCAAATTCCAATCGTGGCTAATTTGAAAAAAACAGTATTTTTTTCTTATCAGTTGATATGAAAAGATATTTTTTTCTTATGAAGGCGTTTGGATTTAATTTGTTTCCCTGACAAGGCATAACACGAACTCAATTCTTGGTTTATATAGGGTTGCAGAAGGTGATTATAGGCACCGTTAAGGAATAAGTTAAAATTTTGATCCCACAAAACCATCTTAGTCATTCTCAAATGTGATCAGGTGGTTAGGTTTCAGGGTTTCAAAACATCATTAACAGAAATGCATGATATTACAACTTTATTAAACAGAACTAAGAAGTCACGAACTGCCACTTCCCAATAGTTTTTCTGTTTGGAAGCAAAATCTAAGTACATAAACAATCTGGATTGTATTGCTTTCTTCTCGTCAAAAGAACGGTAGCATTTCTTTCTGATAAAAGAAACAACCTGAAGGGCCATCATTAGGCAGCAGCGCCAACCTCACAGCACATTCGGCTCCCTCTGCAGCAGTGAAAAGGCCGGTATTGGTAGTGATGTCAGTCTTGCAATAGCCAGGGCAGACAGAATTGACGCAGAAACTAGGGTACTTTTTGGCCAGAATCCTTGTGTATGCATTCATGGAAGCTTTTGCAACTGTATAGGCTGAGAGATAAGTCGGCCAGCCTTTGGTTTCTACAGAACCCTCCTTAAAATCTTTAAGAAACTGCTGCACAACTTCATCTACTCTATCTTCAGAAAGACTTCCCTCATCATTCAACAATCCTTTAGCCCATTCACTGGGTATTTTCTGAACACAGGAAAACATTTGGTCAGACTGCTTGAAAACTGTTATAATTACTAGTCTATGTTAATTGAAACCCAATTTTAAAGGATAATGGTTCAAGAAATCAAACGTTTGGAGCTATTGAGCCAAGACAGTAAAGAACTTTGCATAGCAATGTGTGTGGACATGCACTAACCAAGCAGAGAACTAATGGCATGTTAACATAAAAAAAAAAAAAATGTTTTCCTTCTTCCAGGAGTTGAATTCTAGTTTATGGCAAAGCAAGAGGAAAGGAATTATTAGTTACACCCAGTCTTGCAGATATTTATAACCAGACAATATAGGAATGTAATTTTCAACTTTTAAGTCACCATCAATTAAGCTTTCTCTATCAGGAGAAACATATAGCAAACATCACAACAGTATGCAACTGCTATACCAAACTGGATGAAATACAAACACCAAAATTTCATTCTTGAAAGAGGGTTCTGTACCCTTAGAAGTCCCATCCCTGAAGAAACATTTACAATCCTAGGTGAATCAGACAACTGGAGGAGAGGAACAAGTGCTTCAGCCATTCCTCTTGCACCATAGTAGTTTGTTTCCACGCATTTTTTGGCCATTTCATAACTTGGAGTTGTAATTTCATCCCACACTTTTTCTCCAGTTGGCTGCATTTGCAGAACAGAACCTTATACCCTCCCCAAGCATGTACAAAGAAATTCATATCCAAAAAACAGAATCAAAATGGCATACCCAATCACCAGCGAGTTCAAAGGCTCTTTGAAAAGCATCAGCGTCCATCGCAACTCCCCCAATCCCAGCATTGTTCACCTGCTCCAAGGTTCAAAATTTTTCAGCAAATTATAAGATGGTCAGAAAACATTATGAGGATTACAATCCAAGGATTAATAACTTCATACCAAGATATCGAGTTTTCCAAATTTGGTTTTGACAAATTCAGCCAAAGAAGCAATTCCATCAGGGTCAATCACATCAAGCTGACGGAAAACCACATGATCATCACAGATACCAGAGTCTTTCAGCTTTTGAACAGCTTCAAGGCCCCTCTTCTCATCTCTGGCTGTCAACACCACAACAATCCCATGAGAAGTCAACTGCCTACATATTTCAAACCCAATCCCTTTATTTGCCCCTGTCACAACTGCATACCTGAGACAAATTAAAACTGTTTGGTTAGTTGGAGTATGATAGGAGTTCAAAACAGTGCCTGAAAAATGCAAAGTTGAGTTGACCTCTTCGTTGCAGTGGATGCTTGTAACATGGCTGATGAGATGATAAATCCTCCATAAATTGTGTGTGTATATATGCTGATTCGTATAAGTGTCGCTTTCCAGCAGAAAATTGCCTGTCACTGCCTTAGCAACAGAAACGGGCCAAGTTGCCAGTGTGGAATCAGAATTTCGAACAAAGTCAACGAATTTCCAAGAAATTACTAAGGCGGCTATTGATAGAAGCTAGAAAAGTCTGATAAGTTTAGATCTGAAAGAATCGCAAAGAAAAATCATAGACAGGCGGGATTTCTCATGCTACAATTTCAATGAAAAATTCTCCAAATCTCCATCTTCTTGTTATGGAATCAATTTTTTGACTCTGCTCGGAAAGATTATAACAATAAAATATTCGGGGGAACATCACGTCAGCATGAAAGAAACATCTGGGGTCGGTTTATATTAGCAAATATTCACGTCAACACGTTATAATTACCGCATATACTTGCACACTCATTTTGTTCTCTTTTAACCATAATAATAATAATAAAATGAGATAATTACACTATAAATACTTCAATTTTCAACATTTTCTCAATTAAGTATATAAAATTTTATTTTTATTTAAGTACATTCATTTTTTC